CCCAGGCCCGACACCGGGAGGGGAGAGCCCAGGCCCGACACCGGGAGGGGAGAGCCCAGGCCCGACACCGGGAGGGGAGAGCCCAGGCCCGACACCGGGAGGGGAGAGCCCAGGCCCGACACCGGGAGGGGAGAGCCCAGGCCCGACACCTGTAGAGGAAAGTCCTAGTTGCACAGAAAAGGTTTAAACAGATACAGTGGGAATAACAGGCAATAAGTGGCTGAATCAAACCAATAAAACTTCCTCCAATAATTAACAATTCATGGGGCCCGTTGCAGAATTTTTCTGGGGCCTCCATAGCGACACCTAGCAATGTCATTTGAGACAATAGTGTCACTGATCCTAACATAAAGAATATCTAAATCAACCTAGTCCATTACCAGGGACCAGAGCTGGTGATAGACGATGTCAGGGACAGGGGCAGACTGACCATTTAGAAACTCGGGCACTGTCCGAGGGCCCGGGGTCAGTAGGGGGCCCCATGAGATGCCCCTGGTACCTTTTCATAGGCTTTTTTGAGTTTGGGCAAGGACACGGGTCCCCATGATCCCCTATTCCCCGGGGGCCCCATGAGTTGTCAGTCCGCCCCTGGTCAAGGAAGAGCAATAGTGAAGGGAATGCACTCAGTAGTTCAGCATCCACTGATCTTTGTCAGAAGAGAACATTTTAGGGCTTTGGTGTGAATTCTAATTCCTCCCACTCCTTATACCCCTTTTCTTCAGTGCTGAAAATTGTGGCTTTGTAGTCTCTAACCATCATGGAGCTTGTTGGACATCCCATTCCAAAACCATGGCCACTAGTATGGAGATGACTCCCTTATAACAGCCTCCACTCTTGAGGGAAGGCTTTCCTCAAGATCTTGGAGGGTGTCTGTGGGAATTTGTACCCATTTCTGAGGTCAGGTACAGATGTTGGATGAGAAGACCTGGCTCACAATCTCCATTCTAATTCATTTCAAAGGTGTTCAGTAGGGTTGAGGTCAGGGCAAGACAAGAGGAAATGCTTCTTCCTGTCTGCAGTACTGATGACATCATCTCAGCCTAGGCAAAGCCACTGGACTGGAGCTAAAGGACGGCTTTCTATTGATATAGGGTAGAGCTTTCCTGAAAAATGATCCTGTTGTACCTGGTGTTAGGAATGTATCCATGCAGGCTTGTGAGGTTACTGAGAGTCTGATATCTGCCAATCTCTCAAGTCTGATGCCATGTAAGGTGGAGAGCCCAGGGCCTCTACCGAATTCTCACCTTCAGTGGAACCTCGGCAGGAGGAGAAGACGGCACTGGCGGCACCACTTTGACAGACACAAGGTAGAGAGATTCTCCACATAACTCCCATTACCAGAAAAGGTGACTGGAGAGGAATCCCGCTCAGCTGGTATATATATCACACAGTATTGACACAACAGCAGGGACCAAAAACTGCAAACATTCTGTGTGTGACACAGGAACTGTATACAGATATATACAGACCATATACAGATATATACAGACCATATACAGACCATATACAGACCATATACAGATATATACAGACCATATACAGATATATACAGACCATATACAGATATATACAGACCATATACAGATATATACAGACCATATACAGATATATACAGACCATATACAGATATATACAGACCATATACAGATATATACAGACCATATACAGATATATACAGACCATATACAGATATATACAGACCATAAAACAGATATATACAGACCATATACAGATATATACAGACCATATACGGATATATACAGACCATATACAGATATATACAAACCATATACAGATATATACAGACCATATACAGATATATACAGACCATAAAACAGATAAGATATACAGACCATATACAGATATATACAGACCATATACAGATATATAACAGACCATATACAGATATATACAGACCATATACAGATATATACAAAAAAATATACAGATATATACAGACCATATACAGATATATAAAAGACCATATACAGATATATACAGACCATATACAGATATATACAGACCAAAAATATGGGTACATAGACCATATACAGATATATACAGACCATATACAGATATATACAGACCATATACAGATATATACAGACCATATACGGATATATACAGACAAATATACAGATATATACAGACCATATACAGATATATACAGACCATATACGGATATATACAGACCATATACAGATATATACAGAAAATATACAGATATATGCAAACCATATACAGATATATACAGACCATATACGGATATATAGAAATACAGATATATACAGAAAATATACAGATATATAAAAACCATAAATGGGTACATAGACCATATAAATATATAAAAAAAAAAATATAAAAAAATATAACAAACCAAAACAGATAAAAAAAACCATATACAGAAAATATAAAAAAATATAAAAAAAAAATACAGATATATACAAACCATATAAAAATATAAAAAAAAAAAAAAATAAATAAAAATACAGAAATATAAAAAATATATACAAAAAAAAAAAAAAATATATACAACCAAATACAAAAAAAAAAAAAACCAAATACAAATATAAAAAAAAAATATACAAAAAAAAAAAAAAAAAAAAAAAAAATACAATATATACAGACCATATAAAATATATAAACCATATACGGATATATACAAAAAAAAACCTATACAGAAAAAAATACGGATATATACAGACCGTATACGGATAAAAACAAACCGTAAAAAAAAATACAGACCGTATACGGATATATACAGACCGTATAAAAAAATATATACAGAAAAAAATACGGAAAAAATATACAGACCGTATAAAATATATACAGACCGTATACGGATATATACAGACCGTATACGGATATATACAGACCGTATACGGATATATACAGACCATATAAAAAATATATACAAAAACCATATACAGATATATGCAAACCATATACAGATATATAAAAAAAAAAAAGACCATATACGGATAAAATAAAAACCGTAAAACAGATATATACAGACCATATACAGATAAAATACAGACCATATACGGATATATACAGACCATATACGGAAATATACAGACCATATACGGATATATAAGACCGTATAAAGATATATACAAAACCATAAACGGATATATAAACCAATACGGATAAATAAAAAAACCATATACGGATATATAAGACCAAAAAACAGATATAACAGACCAATACAATATATACAAACCATAAAAAAAAACAGATAAAAAAAACAAAATAAAAAAAAATATAAAGAAAAATATACAAACCATATAAAAATATATAAAAGACCGTATACGGATATATACAGACCGTATAAAAATATATAAAGACCAAATACAGATAAAAAACAACCAAAATACGGAAAAAAAAACCAAAAAAAAAATATACAAAAAATAAAAATATATACAGAAAAAATACGGATATAAACAAAATATAAAATATAAAAAAAGACCATATACAGAAATATAAAAAAAAAAATATATGGGTAAATAGACCATAAAAAATATAAACAAAAAATATAAAATAAAAAAAAATATAAGAAAAAAAAAATATAAAAAAAAAAAAAACCATATAAAAAAAAAAAAAAAAAAAAATAACAAAAAAAAATAAAAAAAATAAAAGACCGTATAAAAAAAAATAAAGAAAAAAAAAAAAAAAAAAAAATATAAAAAAAAATACGGAAATAAACAACCGTAAAAAAATAATAAAGAAAATAAACGGATATATACAGACCATATAAAAAGAAATATACAGACCATAAACGGATATAAAAAAAAAATAAAAAGATAAAACAGACCATAAACAAATATAAAAAAACCATATACAAAAAAAAATATACAGACCATATACAGATAAATAAAGAAAAAAAAAAACAAAAACCATATACAGATATATAAAGACCGTAAAACAGAAATATACAAACCATATAAATATAAAAAAACCATAACGGGTAAATAGACCATATACAGAAATATAAAGACCATATACGGATATGTAGACAGTAAAAAAAATATATACAGACCATATACGGGTATACAAAAATATACTGTGTGTGCCTTTATTATATCAAGCTCACTGAGTTTGTTAGCTCTCACGTGGATGACTAGATACTGAGCCATGGGGAGCAGAAAAAAAAAACTGTCAAAAGACCTCCGTAGCTCTCACATGGATGCGCAAGCAGGCTGGAAACTGAGCCATGGGGAGCATAAAGGAACTATCAAAAGACCTCCGTAGCTCTCACGTGGATGCGCCGAGCAGGCTAGATACTGAGCCATGGGGAGCAGAAAAGAACTGTCAAAAGACCTCCGTAGCTTTCACGTGGATGCACCAAGCAGGCTAGATACTGAGCCATGTTGAGCAGAAAAGAACTATCAAAAGACCTTCATAACAAGGTAATGAAGCTTTATAAAGATGGAAAAAGGATATAAAAAAAATATCCAAAAGCCTTGAATATGCCAATCAGTACTGTTCAATTACTTATTAAGAAGTGGAAAATTCAGGAATCTCTTGATACCAAGCCAAGGTCAGGTAGAGCAAGAAAGATCGCAGCCACAACTGCCAGAATCGTTCGGGGTACAAAGAATAACCCTCTCAGGTAACCTCATGTTAGGAGATGATGGTGTGGTTGTTTCAAGGAGCACAATACAATGGAAATGGAATAAAAATGATCTGCATGGTCGAGTTGCCAGAATGAAGCCTTTACTGCGTCAATGCCACAAAAAAGCCCGGTGAGGTGTGTCAAGTCGGGCATATTGTAACCGGGCATTTTTTTGGCATTGGCGCAATAAAGGCTTCTTTCTGGCAATTCACCCATGCAGCTCATTTTTGTCCAAGTGTCGTCATATTGTGCTCTTTCAAAACAACCACAATGTCTTTTTCTAGAGCAGCCTGGATTTCTAATGAGGTTACATGTGGGGGTTTTTCTTTGTATTACGAACAGGGGCGGACTGACAACTCATGGGGCCCCCGGGCAATAGGGGATCACGGGGCCCCCGAGCAATAGGAGATCATGGGGCCCCTGTGTCCTTGCTCAAACTCAAAAAAGCCTATGAAAAAAAAAACCAGGGGCATCTCATGGGGCCCCCTACTGACCCCGGGCCCTAGGGCAGTGCCCGGGTTTCCAAATGGTCAGTGCACCCCTGATTATGAACAATTCTTCTGCCAGTTATGGCTGCAATCTTTCTCGGTCTACCTGACCTTGGCTTGGTATCAAGAGATCCCCGAACTTTCCACTTCCTAATAAGTGATTGAACAGTATTGATTGGCATATTCAAGGCTTTGGATATCTTTTTATATCCTTTTCCATCGTCATAAAGACCTTGTTACGCAGGTCTTTTGACAGTTCTTTTCTGCTCCCCATGGCTCAGTATCTAGCCAGTTCAGTGCATCCACGTGAGAGCTGACAAACTCACTGACTATTTATACAGAGTAACTGCAATTTAAAAAGCCACAGATGTGGGAAATGAACCTATAATTGCCATTGTAACCCGTGTGTGTCACCTTGTGTGTCTGTACCAAGGCCAAACATTCCAGGGGGCGGAGACTTCTGATCCGGGGGGCGGAGATCATTAGGATTTACAAAGGAGCCAACAACTCTGTGATAATAAATGGCTTCATATGATCACTGTCCTCACATAAAAAAAACAGTTTATGGCATGATCAGTCATATCTCCCATAAAAATACGAAAAGTTCACCATTTCTGCCAGGGGAGGGAAACTTTGCAACACAACCGTATAGACTGTATATAGATATTTACAGTTATATACAGAGCATGTGTAATACAAAGGGATGATCCATCCTAATTAACATTCCTCAGCTGGGTAGGGGGAGCAGAGACCACAGACAGGATCTACACAGCACTGTGCGACGGGACACCAGTGCAGGCGCTGGAGTGTATAGGTGACCCGGGAATGACCCCCACAGACTGCCGGAGACAGGAAATCCTACAGGAGGAAAAAAAATCATACAGCAACCCCTGTATACAATATATAGAGAACTAACCCACAGAGCTGACACTCTAATTTACAGAGGATTCAGTATACAGAAAGATGTGTGTCCTGCAGAAACTGACACTCTAATATACAGTGAGAGGTTACAGCTACAGTATATAGAAAGATGTGTGTCCTGCAGAACTGACACTCTAAAATACAGTGAGAGGATACAGATACAGTATATGAAAGATGTGTGTCCTGCAGAACTGACACTCTAATATACAGTGAGAGGTTACAGATACAGTATATAGAAAAATGTGTGTCCTGCAGAGCTGACACTCTAATGCACAGTGAGAGGATACAGATACAGTATATAGAGAGGTGTGTGTCCTGCAGAACTGACACTCTAATATACTGTATTTGTATCCTCTCTCTGTATATTAGAGAGATGCGTGTCCTGCAGAGCTGACATTCTAATATACAGAGAGGAGATATAATATAGAGAGAGATGTGTGTCCCTGCAGAACTGACACTCTAATATACAAAGAGGATACAGTCTATAGAGAGCTGCATGTCCTGCAGAGCTGACATTCTAATATACAGAGAGAGGATACAGTATATAGAGAGATGTGTGTCCTGCAGAGCTGATAGTCTACTATACAGAGAGAGGATACAAATACAGAGAGGTGTGTGTCCTGCAGAGCTGACACTCTAATATACAGAGAGAGGATACAGATACAGTATACAGAGAGGTGTGTGTCCTGCAGAGCTGACACTCTAATATACAGAGAGATGATACAGTATACAGAGAGGTGTGTGTCCTGCAGAGCTGACACTCTAATATACAGAGAGGATACAGATACAGTATATATAGAGAGATGTGTGTGTGCTGCAGAGCTGACACTCTAATATACAGAGAGAGGATACAGATACAGTATACAGAGAGGTGTGTGTCCTGCAGAGCTGACACTCTAATATACAGAGAGATGATACAGTATACAGAGAGGTGTGTGTCCTGCAGAGCTGACACTCTACTATACAGAGAGGATACAGAGAGATGCGTGTCCTGCAGAGCTGACACTCTAATATACAGAGAGGATACAGATACAGTATACAAGGAGATCCATGTCCTGCAGAGCTGACACTCTAATATACAATGAGAGGATACAGTATACAGAGAAGTGTGTGTCCAGCAGAGCTGACACTCTAATATACAGAGAGGATACAGATACAGTATATATAGAGAGATGTGTGTGCTGCAGAGCTGACACTCTACTATACAGAGAGAGGATACAGATACAGTATACAGAGAGGTGTGTGTCCTGCAGAGCTGACACTCTAATATACAGAGAGGATACAGATACAGTATATAAAAAAGATCCGTGTCTTGCAGAGCTGACACTCTAATATACAGAGAGGATACAGATACAGTATATATAGAGAGATGTGTGTGCTGCAGAGCTGACACTCTAATATACAGAGAGAGGATACAGATACAGTATACAAGGAGATCCGTGTCCTGCAGAGCTGACACTCTAATATACAATGAGAGGATACAGTATACAGAGAAGTGTGTGTCCAGCAGAGCTGACACTCTAATATACAGAGAGGATACAGATACAGTATATATAGAGAGGTGTGTCCTGCAGAGCTGACACTCTAATATACAGAGAGGATATAGATACAGTATATATAGAGAGGTGTGTCCTGCAGAGCTGACACTCTATACAGATAGAAGCAGTAGTGTATGCTCAGACAATGGTGGTGGGTGGGGTGGGGTCTGTATATACTATTACAGGGGGAGGACACAGCCAGGTGATGGTAGGTGGGGGGTGATGATGATGATGGTGAGGAGGAGGAGGACACATTATATGTGATGTATGGGGAAAGGAAGGGGGGATGGGATCTGGGTCACCCCATCCCTGGCACAGATGAGGACACAGCATACAATGTACAGACATGGTGCTCCATACATCACACACGGGGCTGCTGTCATCCTCATCCTGGGGGAGGGAGCACACACAATGTGTCATCCTGATCCTCAGCGTACAATGTACAGGGTGTGTAGAATGGAGGAGGCTCACCTGTGTGCAGAGCGAGGATGGAAGCTGGCACAGCACTGAGCTCACTACACAGGAGAGACAGCAGAGCTTGGAGAAGGGAGGGGGCTGGGTGGGGGGAGGAGCTGGGGGAGGGAAGGGAGGGGCATCGCCCTCTATTGTTCTCCCCTCCCCCTCCTCCTCCTCTGTAGTAAATGTTACAATGTATCAGAGAGAGATCCGTGAGATCTGTATGTAGGAGACACTCATACCTCTCATACCTATTGATGTCATCATTCATATCATTATCATCATTTATATCAACATCATTATCATTCATATCATCATCATCATCATTTATATCAACATCATTATCATTCATATCATCATCATCATTTATATCAACATCATTATCATTCATATCATCATCATCATTTATATCAACATCATTATCATTCATATCATCATCATCATCATTTATATCATCCTCAATTATCAGCAGACATCTGCAATATTCTCTGCTGTGATTTCCATATACACTGTTATCATTGTCACCATCAGCAGCTCATATCTGCAGTCTGTATTATTATTATTATCATAGCCAAACTGGAAGTGACAGGAAATCCCTGCATGAAGGGAATTCCTTGCCCCCCCCCCCGGGTCACTAGAACTAACATCCCCATTGGAAGATTTCCCCTCGATTACTCTTCTGGGGACAGCCCAACATTTGGAATTTTCTTATACTCTCACTTTTAATTACAATGGTAAAAAAGACAAATAGAGAGGGGGGGGGGGGGGCACAGACAGCAATACAAATCTGATGGGGATCTAATCCATCTCCACTCTATCCAAAACTAAACAAAAAGTTTTGCCTTTAGTTATACTTTAATACTTTTTTGTATCGGTATCAGCAGTGTGATCTGTTATCCAGCCTTATATACAATATTAATCATTTATATTATTATTATTATCATTATTTGTTATTATTACTGTCAGCTGATATCGGCTATATCCCTGCTGTGCTCCCCTTATATACACTAATATTATTATTATCATTTCTATTAATCAGCTTATATCTGCAGTATCTGCTGCTATGCCACCCTTCCATACATTATTATGTCACTATTATTATTATTATTATTATTATTATTATTATGTCACTATTATTATTATTAATAATAATAATAATAATAATAATATGAGACATCTGCAGTGTTCTTTGCTATCCACCCTTATACGCCGCGTTCCAAATTATTATGCAAATTCTCTTTAAGTGTCACAAAGATGAAATATTTTGTTTTTCAGTGTAACTCATGGATGGCATTGTGTGTCAGGGCTCTTTTGATCACTGAAAACAATCTGGGACACCTGTGATAATTAGATTGGCCGGTGAGCCCAATTTAATGAAAAACTACCAAAGGAGGGCGTTCCACATTATTAAGCAGAGCGCCATTTTCCAGCAATATGGGGAAGAAAAAGGATCTCTCTGCTGCCGAAAAGGGTGAAATAGTTCGATGCCTTGGACGAGGTATGAAAACATTTGATATTTCACGAAAACGTAAGCGTGATCATCGCACTATGAAGAGATTTGTGGCTGATTCAGAGCACAGACGGGTTGGTGCAGATAAAGGCACATTGAGGAAGATTTCTGCCAGATCCATGCATCGGATCCAGAGAGCAGCTGCTAAAATCCCATTACATAGCAGCAAACAGATATTTGAAGCTGCTGGTGCCTCTGGAGTCCCACAGACATCAAGGTGTAGAGTCCTCCAGAGTCTTACAACTGTGTATAAACCTTCTATTCGGCCACCAATAACCAATGCTCACAAGCAGAAACGGCTGCATTGGGCAGAAAAATACATGAAGACTAATTTTCAAACAGTCCTGTTCACTGATGAGTGCCGTGCAACCCTGGATGGTCCAGATGGATGGAGTAGTGGATGGTTGGTGGACGGCCACCCTGTTCCAACAAGGCTGCGACGTCAGCAAGGCGGTGGTGGAGTCATGTTTTCGGCCGGAATCAAGGGAAGAGAGGCGGTCGGCCCCTTTAGGGTCCCCGAAGGTGTAAAGATGACCTCTGCAAAGTATGTGGAGTTTATGACTGACCACTGTCTTCCCTGGTACAGAAGGAAGAACTATGCTTTCCGTAATAAAATCATCTTCATGCATGACAATGCACCATCTCATGCTGCAAAGAATACCTCTGCATCAATGGCTGCTATGGGGATAAAAGGAGAGAAAGTCATGGTGCGGCCTCCATCCTCCCCTGACCTCAATCCTATTGAGAACCTTTGGAGCATCCTCAAGCAAAATATCTATGAGGGTGGGAGGCAGTTTACATCCAAACAGCAGCTCTGGGAGGCTATTCTGACATCTTGCAAACAAATTCAAGCAGAAACTGTCCAAAAACTCCCAAGTTCAATGGATGCCAGACTTGTGATCTGCTATCAGATAAGGGCTCCTATGTTACAATGTAACGTGACCGCTTCAAATGTTTACAAAGTTACAATGTTGGTAAAAGTTTGATTGAAATAGCTTTTGATTTCAGTAAATATGCTGCAAACACAACAAATGACAATTCTCAGTTCTTTACAACCTATAAAGTGTTTTGAAATTTACTGTGCGGAATAATTTGGAACAAAAATCCTGTTATCATTAGGAGGTTTGTTCAATAAAATGTGAATTGTCCTCTTATAGTTGATAACCTGAGAAATATGCCGACTGTTATTTACATCAATTATTGAGGGAAATGAGAAAAATATCATTTGCATAATAATTTGGAACACGGTGTATATAATCATTATTATTTTAAGCCAATATCTACAGTAACCTCTGCTGTCATCCTCATGTACAATATTATTATTGTTATTATCAGCCAATATCTACAGTTTCCCCTGCTATGTCACTATTATTATTATTTTTTATTAATAATATTATTATTATTATTATCAGAAGACATCTGCAGTGTCCTTTGCTATCCACCCTCATATATAATCATTATTATATTCAACCAATATCTGCAGTATCCTCTGCTATGTCACCCTTATATATTATTTTTATTATCAGACAATTTCTGCAGTTTCCACTACTATGTCACTATTATTATTATGATTATTATTTACAGACAATATTGGTCTTTCCCCTGCTATGTTACTAGTATTATTTTTTATTTTTTATTATTGTTTTCAGACAATATCTGCAGTTTCCCCTGCTATGTCCCTACTATTATTATTATTATTATTATTTTCAGACAATATCTGCAGTTTCCACTGCTATGTCCCTACTATTATTATTATTATTTTCAGACAATATCTGCAGTTTCCCCTGCTATGTCCCTACTATTATTATTATTATTATTATTTATTATTATTATTATTATTTTCAGACAATATCTGCAGTTTCCCCTGCTATGTCCCTACTATTATTATTATTATTATTTTCAGACAATATCTGCAGTTTCCACTGCTATGTCCCTACTATTATTATTATTATTATTATTTTCAGACAATATCTGCAGTTTCCACTGCTATGTCCCTACTATTATTATTATTATTTTTCAGACAATATCTGCAGTTTCCCCTGCTATGTCCCTATTATTATTATTATTATTATTATTATTATCAGACAATATCTGCAGTTTCCCCTGCTATGTCCCTACTATTATTATTATTATTATTATTATTATTATTATTATCAGACAATATCTGCAGTTTCCCCTGCTATGTCCCTACTATTATTATTATTATTATTTATTATTATTATCAGACAATATCTGCAGTTTCCCCTGCTATGTCCCTGCTATTATTATTATTATTATTATTATTATCAGACAATATCTGCAGTTTCCATTGCTATGTCCCTACTATTATTATTATTATTATTATTATTTTCAGACAATATCTGCAGTTTCCCCTGCTATGTCCCTACTATTATTATTATTATTTTTTCAGACAATATCTGCAGTTTCCCCTGCTATGTCCCTACTATTATTATTATTTATTATTATTATTATTATTATTATTATTATTATTATTATTATTTTCAGACAATATCTGCAGTTTCCCCTGCTATGTCCCTACTATTATTATTATTATTATTATTATTATTATTATTATTATTATTATTTTCAGACAATATCTGCAGTTTCCACTGCTATGTCCCTACTATTATTATTATTATTTTCAGACAATATCTGCAGTTTCCCCTGCTATGTCCCTACTATTATTATTATTTAAGTTATTATTATTATTATTATTATTATTATTATTATTTTCAGACAATATCTGCAGTTTCCCCTGCTATGTCCCTACTATTATTATTATTATTATTATTATTATTATTATTATTATTATTATTATTATTATTATTATTTTCAGACAATATCTGCAGTTTCCACTGCTATGTCCCTACTATTATTATTATTATTATTATTTTCAGACAATATCTGCAGTTTCCACTGCTATGTCCCTACTATTATTATTATTATTATTATTATCAGACAATATCTGCAGTTTCCCCTGCTATGTCCCTATTATTATTATTATTATTATTATTATTATTATCAGACAATATCTGCAGTTTCCTCTGCTATGTCCCTACTATTATTATTATTATTATTATTATCAGACAATATCTGCAGTTTCCCCTGCTATGTCACTATTATTATTATTATTATTATTATTATTATTATTATTATCAGACAATATCTGCAGTTTCCCCTGCTATGTCCCTACTATTATTATTATTATTATTATTATTATTATTATCAGACAATATCTGCAGTTTCCTCTGCTATGTCCCTACTATTATTATTATTATTATTATTATTATCAAACAATATCTGCAGTTTCCCCTGCTATGTCACTATTATTATTATTATCAGACAATATCTGCAGTTTCCCCTGCTATGTCCCTATTATTATTATTATTATTATTATTATTATTATCAGACAATATCTGCAGTTTCCCCTGCTATGTCCCTACTATTATTATTATTATTATTATTATCAGACAATATCTGCAGTTTCCCCTGCTATGTCCCTATTATTATTATTATTATTATTATTATTATTATTATTATTATTATTATCAGACAATATCTGCAGTTTCCCCTGCTATGTCCCTACTATTATTATTATTATCAGACTCTATTATCAGACAATATCTGCAGTTTCCTCTGCTATGTCCCTATTATTATTATTATTATTATTATTATTATCAGACAATATCTGCAGTTTCCTCTGCTATGTCCCTACTATTATTATTATTATTATTATTATTATTATTATCAGACAATATCTATTTATTTACACTAATATTATTATTATTTATTATTATTAATATCTGCAGACATCGTCTTTTGCTATCTACCCTTATACAGAATATAATCATTATTATTTTCAGACAATATCTGCAGTATCCTCGGCTATTCCCTAAATAATGTAATGGGGCACAACAAAGGATCAGTCCAGAGTGAGGACACAGTACCATGAACAGTTGGATCAGGTGCACAAAGCCACTCTATGGAATGGCAAGGGACCAGAGTCAGGAAGGGACCAGCGTCAGGAAGGGACCAGGGTCACAGTGACAGCAGATGCAGCCAAGGTTATTCTGGTATGGCTACAGACCAGAAATATGGGACAGCAAGGATATAAATCCAATGTGGACGCAGGGCAGAGATCCAGGCATAGCGAAGGGACAAATGGCATAATGATGCAGCAAGGATTGGACAGGAGCAGGGGCGGACTGACAACTCATGGGGCCCCCGGGCAATAGGGGATCATGGGGCCCCTGTGTCCTTGCCCAAACTCAAAAAAGACTATGAAAAAGGTACCAGGGGCATCTCATGGGGCCCCGAACTGACCCCGGGCCCTCGGGCAGTGCCCGAGTTTCCAAATGGTCAGTCCACCCCTGGACAGGAGGCTTCTGTGTCTGGGGAGGCAGAGGGACAGGTCCTATGTACACAGTCCAGCATGCATACAGGCAGGGACAGTGCAAGAGGTGAAGTTCAGAGTTCTGGAGAATATGGAGGTCCACACAGGCAGCGGCGATGATCTAAAGTTGGCCATCCCTGCTGAACCGGCCAAAGTTCGACCAGTGTATGGCCAGCTTTTTTTAATTTGAACCTAAACCCTCTAGCCCTAACCCATAGGGCCTCTTCTTTCCTATGTCCGTGCATGCTCAGTAGAGCCTAATAGACGTATAGGACTATGTCCCTACAGAGGAGTCCATGGGGATTTACTGCGCACACATGTACATTGGGAAGGAGAGGCTGGGTTCAGGATGGAAACAGCAACAACAATATGGAAATAAGTATCCTTGGCTCCATCCAGTGGCCATAAAGTGGAATTTTCCCAAACCACTCTATTTTTCCATGAATGGATAACATTCAAACTTTAAAGGAATTAGATCTTTGAAGGAAATTTCAAGGTTGCCCCATTCACCTCCTTGGCGTAGGGGCAGATCTGGGCGCCCGAGTCTGAGCTGCCCACTGTTACTTCGTTGTTTGGGTGTAAGGCCTTTCACATCTGTTCAATTTGAAGTTTTACCAGAAAACCTAAGACGCTTGACATTAAGATATATAGGATACAGGTGTATATAGGATTTCCATTATATTCAGTGGAGCTCGTTCACACCTGGGTGTAGGCTCTCTTGAACCTCATCGCTCTAAAAATGACCTGATCTTCAAATGGGCCATTTGGCATTTGGGGCATTTTGACCCCTGTAGACTTCAATAGGAACACCTGAAATAACGTAACACACACATTTTTGTGCTTTTTCTTTTCTAGTATCTAAATTTCCATTGGCTAAAAATAATGAAATTAAAAAGCCGAAGCTTGAAATACGCAGAAATACCTGAAAAATGCCCAGAAAAATGAACAAAGACACTCGGATCAAGTGTGAATGGAGCCCCATATGATGATGTGGCTGGAAAGCTGTGAATGGCAATGGGCAATGTTTACATTGGCGCATACCCTCCCCTCAAGGATGTTATGTTTGGAACCCCAGCAGGAAACTATGACCCATGGACAGGGGCGGACTGACAACTCATGGGGCCCCCGAGCAATAGGGGATCATGGGGCCCCTGTGTCTTTGCCCAAACTCAAAAAAGCCTATGAAAAAGGTACCAGGGGCATCTCATGGGGCCCCCTACTGACCCCGGGCCCTCGGGTAGTGCCCGAGTTTCCAAATGGTCAGTCCGCCCCTGCCCGTGGGAGCAGATTAGTCTTTCTGTCATTGGATGTTCCCCTCTAAGTCCTTTCTTGCCCCTCTCTAGGTGAGGGCACAGTTTGGGCAATTTATCTGTGTGGTGCACAGACCATCACATATACTAGCTTCTATGGATGACACCCTGGCAGGTAATGTGGGCTCACCTAAGGTGCAGGTCCAAGTGACAACTTGGTCTTCAGTAAAGCACTTCACAAGGAGCAATGGGCTGGTGACCATAGTGGTCCTTGGTCAGGGCTTACAATTTCGAGTCTAGACCTACTAGACCCACCAGTTGCCCCACCCAACCTTGCCCAGGTCTGCCTCCAACCCCACCCCCGGCCCTTGGTACTGCAGGGTGACACCAGGTCACAGCACTAAGTATTGCCCCACCAAGGGGTCACAGGAACAGGATGGCTACACTATCAGGTTGCAAGAACAGAAGGTCAAAGGCTGAGCTGGGGCCAAGACAGGTGGCAGGCAAGAGAATAGTCATTGTCTGAGCAGTGGTCGAGGCAGGAGGCAGGTAAGAGAGTAGTTTTGTTTCAGGTTGAGGTCAAGGCAAGTGGAAGGCAATTGAGTAGTTGGGGTTCAGACTCAGGTCAAGGCAGGCAGTAGTTGGGGTTCAGATTGGCATCAAAGCAGGCAAGAGAATAGTCGGTGTCCAGGCAGAGGTCAGAGAAGGTGACAGGCAAGAGAGTACTTTGGGTTCAGGCTAAGGTCAAGACAGGTAGCAAACAAGAGAACAGTCAGGGTCCAGGCAAAGGTTGGGGCAGGCAGCAGGCAAAAAAATGTGTCCAGGCAGAGGTCAAGGCAGGTGGCAAGCAGGAGAGAAGTCGCGGTTCAGGCTGTGGTCAAGGCAAGCAAGAAAGCCAAATAGAATGTTTTACTGTCTTATTGTGTGGCAACTAACCTGTGGTGGGTGTGAAGAGATTGGTGGGTGTAAAGACAGTGACCACTTATATGGCTCTGAGGTCAGAGGATCTAGTGGGTCATTTGTGTATATCAGGTGGAAGTTTTGTTGTTTCTCTGTTCATATTCTAACTGGGAATGTCTTCATTACAAGTGCCGTATATTGGAAATAAGGGATAGGGGAGCATGGTCCTGTGTCCTTGGCTCAGGTAGAGGGGAGTATGGTCCTATGTCCTAGGGGGTCAGGTAGAGGGGAGTATGGTCCTATGTCCTAGGGGGTCAGGTAGAGGGGAGTATGGTCCTATGTCCTAGGGGGTCAGGTAGAGGGGAGCATGGTCCTATGTCCTAGGGGGTCAGGTAAAGGGGAGTATGGTCCTGTGTCCTCAGGTCAGGTAGAGGGGAGCATGGTTCTGTGTCCTCAGGTCAGGTAGAGGGGAGCATGGTCCTGTGTCCTTGGCTCAGGTAGAGGGGAGTATGGTCCTATGTCCTAGGACAGTGGTGGGCAACCTTTTTTTTCAACTGAGCCAAATCTCGCCAAAACCACAATTGAAATTTATTTTGAGAGCCACATTTTTAAAACTGAAAATACATCCCCCATGTAGTAATTCATCCCCCATATAGTAATTCATCCCCTATAGTAATTCATCCCCCATATAGTAATTCATCCCCCATAGTAATTAATCCCCCATAGTAATTAATCCCCCATATAGTAATTCATCCCCCATATAGTAATTCATCCCCCATATAGTAATTCATCCCCCATAGTAATTCATCCCCCCTATAGTAATTCATCCCCCCTATAGTAATTCATCCCCCATATAGTAATTCATCCCCCATAGTAATTCATCCCCCATAGTAATTCATCCCCCATATAGTAATTAATCCCCCATATAGTAATTCATCCCCCATAGTAATTCATCCCCCATATAGTAATTCATCCCCCCTATAGTAATTCATCCCTCATATAGTAGTAGTAAGTAAGTAGCAAGTAGTAAGCCAAGTCCCCCCTGTGTCAATTCACTTACCTTTGCTCCGCGCGTTCCTCTCGCCGTGTTCCCGCGCCGTTCCGGTCTTCAGGGCGGACTGTGAGAGGAGCCTAGCTCCTCTCACGTTCGTCACGCTGCCCCACCTACACACATCCTGACAGCCAATCACTGGCTATCAGGATGTGAGTGGCAGCGAGACTGTCCAATCATTGCATTTGAGCGCGCTGCCCTGGCTGTTTTTTTTTTGGATCACGCTGCAGAGTCCCTGCCGCCCCCGAGAGGAGGGAGGGGAGCAGGCGCCCGGCACACAAGAGCCGCATTAAAGCGTGTAAAGGGCCGCATGTGGCTCGCGAGCCGCGGCTTGCCAACCACTGTCCTAGGAGGTCAGGTAGAGGGGAGTATGGTCCTGTGTCCTCAGGTCAGGTAGAGGGGATCATGGTCCTGTGTCCTCAGGTCAGGTAGAGGGGATCATGGTCCTGTGTCCTCAGGTCAGGTAGAGGGGATCATGGTCCTGTGTCCTCAGGTCAGGTAGAGGGGAGCATGGTCCTGTGTCCTCAGGTCAGGTAGAGGGGATCATGGTCCTGTGTCCTCAGGTCAGGTAGAGGGGAGCATGGTCCTGTGTCCTCAGGTCAGGTAGAGGGGATCATGGTCCTGTGTCCTCAGGTCAGGTAGAGGGGAGCATGGTCCTGTGTCCTCAGGTCAGGTAGAGGGGATCATGGTCCTGTGTCCTCAGGTCAGGTAGAAGGGATCATGGTCCTGTGTCATGTGCTTCAAGTATAAGGTAGTATGTTTCTGCAGTTTTGGTATAGGGGGACATGATCCTCGTGTATAGTAGACCATGGACCTGGGTTTTGAGGCTCGGGTATAGAGGAGCATGGCCCTCTGTCCTGTGGCTTGGTTATAGGGGAACATGGTCAAGCATCCTGCTGCTCAGGTATAGGGGAGCATGGTCCTGCATTCTGAGTTTTGGGTATAGGGAAGCTTGGACTTTTGCCCTGTGACTCAGATATAGGGGAGCATGAACCTGTGTCCTTTGGTTCAAGTATAGGAGAGCATGGTCCTGCATCCTGTGGCTCGGTTATAGGGTAGCATGGTCTTGCAGATTGGGTATGAAGGCGCATGGTCCTGAGGCTCAGATATAGGTGAGTATGGTCCTGAGTCCTGCGGCCCAGGTATAGGGGAGTATGATTATGTGTCCTTCAACTCGGGTATAGGGGAGTATAGTCTTGGGTCCTAAGCTTGGGAAGAGGGGAGCTTGGTTTTGTGTCATTGGCTCAGGTATAGGGGAGCTTGGTTCTGTGTCATTGGCTCAGGTATAGGGGAGCTTGGTTCTGTGTCCTTGGCTCAGGTATCAGGGAGCATAGTCCAGTGTCCTCAGCTCGAGTATAGTAGAGCATGGACAGGGTTCTGAGGCTCCGATAAAGAGGCGCATGACCCTGTGTCCTGCGGCTAGGTTATGGGAGAACATGGTCCTGCATGCTGTGGCCCAATGCTTGGGAATAGGAAAGCATGGTATTTTGTCCTGCCATTCAGCTATAGGGGAACATGGTCTTGTGTCCTTGGCTCAGCTGTAGGGATGCATGGTTCTGTGTCCTCAGGTCAGGTAGAGGGGAGCATGGTTTTGTGTCCTGTGCTTCAGGTATAAGGGAGTATGTTTCTGAGGCTTGGGTATTGAGGAGCAAGGCCCTGTGTCCTGTGGCTCAGTTATAGGGGAACATGGACCTGCATTCTGTGGCTTGGGTATAGGGTAGCATAGTCTTGCAGCTTGGATATAAAGGAGCATGGTTCTAAGTCCTGCAGCCCAAGTAT